GCTCCACAGCACACTCCACATGTGCCAGAAGTTCAGTGAAGTGGAGTGACACCAGGACTAATGCTGGAAACCCTGGGGAGGAGCATCAGAATGGTCCTCTGGGGCCCCGATCACAACTTTAGGGCTCAGTATCTGGCAGCTCATTTTGGAAACTGTATATGATAGACCATATGTCTGACATCTGAGAAGTTCTTTTCCACAGAACTACAGAAGCAGCATGAATATGCATGTATACATGTGTCCAAATACATGCATACAGTCTCTAAGAGAACATGGTAGGGTAGTTCCCTGTCTATTCTGGGCTGCCTGGTGTGTATCATCCCCAGGCTGGGTGCTGGTTTAAGTTATGGCCACCACAGAACCTGACTCCAGTGGTGTGGACAGGCTGGCCTAGACCAGCTCACAATGTTAGCAGACCTCCCCTCCTTCCAGTCCTGTACCTTGAGATCATGTGGCACTCTGGAGCCAGCCACAATGGGAGTATTTATACCAGGATAGAGAGTACATACTATGACTTAAGACTTGCTCTCTGACAAAGAACCATAGGCCAGGACCCCATCAGCTGATAGAATGGGGACACATGAGCAACCTTGACCCTTCCTCCAAGGTATGGAGGACATGGATTGACAGTATCGGCCTCAAAGGACCTTATTAGAATGCCAGATCTTGCTCTCTCCATGGGTCTCTGAGAGGGGCTCCATTCAGATGCAATATTTTAAGCAGTCTGGGCTAACAAATTTAAAGGGGACTGAAAGAGCTCACTTCTGGTTCCAGAGAAGAGTAGGGGTTTTGAAGAGAAATGGAACATCAACTCAAAGTGACAGTGATCCCTTGTAAACTCAGGTGCCTTTGGATTTCCCCCCTTGAAAATACTATCTGAAGAATAAAGATGGGAAAAACCCATAATTCCTCCGGCCACACAACTGTCCTCACTTCTCCATACTTCTTATAAGCACACATTTATATAAACTGCTGGTGGGAGTGTTTTCACACACTGGTATTCAGCACATTTGCATCCTGGGAGCAATGAATGCCTTGGACTTTGGTCTACTGAATTTTTTTTTTTTTTTTTAAATGGGTTTTTGTGAATTTTTTTCAGCTTTTTTTTTTTTTTTTTAATGGGATTTTTTGAATTTTTTTTCCTTTTTTTTTTTTTTTTTTTGTCTTCTTCTTCAGGAATGTGGGTGGCAGCCAGAGTTGCACAAAGAAGATTGACACCTGGAACATAATTCTCAGAATTAGCATTCTTCATTCAGGGCTGGCAGAAGGGAACAGTCACAGGAGAGCCCCTCAGAAAAGAGCAGAGAACCTAATCTGCTTGATTCTGGAAAGTATATTGGCAATTTATAAACAAGCTCTTTGTAGACTGGAATGCTGGCATCCGTGTAGATTATACATCTTCTGGAGCTTTCCTCGTGTAGCTGGTACACCCTTTGCCATGGAGGTGAAGACTGGGTTCAAACTACCTGGGTTTGGGGTGATATAAATTGCTTATTAGTAGTTGACTACTGTGAAGGCAGAGATGGGGTGGGAGCGCCACCAGCATCCCACCTCATTGACTTTGTGTGTGTGTGTGTGTATGTGTGCACATGCGTGTGTGGGCCAAGGGAGACCTGAAGTTGATGGTGGATGTCTTCCTCATCAACCTCCATTTTATTTACTGAGGCAAGGTCTCTCAACAACTCAGAGCTTGCTGATTAGCTAGTCTGGCAGCTTGTCATACATAGGGCTCTCATCTCTGCCTCCTGGTTCTGGGATTACAGGTAGCCCTTATACCTGCAGGACTTTTATATGGGTTCTAGGGATTCAAATTCTGGTTCTCATGCTAGCATAACACTGAGCCATCTCCTCAGCCCAAATTTGTAGCTTTTCATATCAGGCCTTGGTCATTCTTTCAGCAAGTTTTTATGGGGTGTTGCCTCTGGCTTCACCCCACTGGGTGAACAGGGTGACAGAGAAATTCTAGAGTTTCTGGTGCTTGTAAGTAACCAAGTGCTCATCTGACTTGACAGGTAGCAGGGAGAGTCACAGCAGCAGAAGGAAGGTAACATGGGAGTTCTCCAGGTCAAGGGTGGTATGACAGGGTGGAAAGGAGGTGCTACCTTGTGGGTAAAGTTGAGGCAGGGAAGTGCTTGGGAGCTGGGTTCAAGATATATAGCATGGGATGAGATGGAAATACAGGCAGGTGCAAGGAGGTTAAGTGCCAACTGTGCTAGGACAGTTTGTTGTTTATTTTGGACATACTTGCTATCCACCTAACCTTCAGCTCACCACCTACCCATTCCGCACTAATCCACTATCTCTTCACCCTTAGTCTCTGCTCTATCTAGCACCCAGTCACCTGTCTTTCCAGCTAAGCAACCTCCGCACCAGGCCCAAGATTTCCCTTGGTTTCTTCTTCCAGTGTCCTGAAGGTCTCATCACATATCTTTAACTTCAGAACCATTCAGCCTCACCTGTGCCCATGCAGACTGTTCAGCTGATGGTGCTGTTATAAACAAGGAATTAATCAGTCATGTGACAGTATGGCTTACAGGATAAAGGTACTAAGGCAGGTGTACTAAGCACAGAGCAATGTGAAAATCTGTTTCTGATGATTCTTTCCAAAGCCAATTATGAAGCATTTAGAAGCATGCCCTTCACATAATTATCGAGTATTTGTATGTTTCAAATTAAGAGAAAGGAGTCAGAGAATTAAGGATATACTGTTTTTTTGAACTTTGTGAATTAACCTTCTGTTGAGTTGATTTTGAGTTGGTTGGGGTAATAGAGATGGTAGGGTGGGATTAAATTTTGTAATACATTAATGTAACATCTTTCTTTGCCCTGATGATAAAAAACATGTTGATTAGATCTGTGTCTCTGTCTCTCTCTGCCTCTGTCTGTCTACACACACACACACACACACACACACACACACACACACCACACTATCAGGTAAACAAGAGGCACCCAGAGGTAACTTGCTAACACTTGGGTACATTTTCCTCCATTCTTTTTTCCTCTGCATGCTGTTAATCATAATTGCTTAAATTTTTATATTCATTTTATTCAATTTATATTCATTTTATATTCATTTTATTTTTATATTCATTTATTGAATTTAAAAAATTATGCCCAGCATGGTGGCGCACACCTTTAATCCCAGCACTTGGGAGGCAGAGGCAGGAGGATCTTTGTGAGTTCGAAGCCAGCCTGGTCTACATAGTGACTTCCAGGACAGCTGGGGCTACAAGGAGACCCTGTCCCAAAAAGACAAAAAAATTATTTATTATTTTTATTATTTTATGTGTATGAGTGTATTACCTGTGTGTACGTGAGTGCACCCGCATCGGTGCAGTGCCTCGGAGGTCAGAAGAGGACTTCCGATTCTCCTGGAACTGGAGTTAAGGACCGTTTGTAGCTGCCTTGTGGGTGCTGGGAATTGAACCCGGGTCCTCTGCAAGAGCAGTAAGTGCTCTCAACCGCTGAGCCATCTCTCCAGCCCCATCATTTTATAGTTTTGACTCTGGCTTTCTCTTCACTTAACGTATGATACAATATTAAGATAAAATCTTATGAAAAGTCTACTTTTATGACTGTCAAGGACACTATTGGTGGATGCTTCATAATTTATTGAATCAGTCTCCTTTTTCTGAAGGCTTTAGAAAGTTTCCGTCTTTGGTCTTATTAAAAGAGCGTGACCACCGGGTGTGGTGGCGCACACCTTTAGTCCCAGCACTCGGGAGGCAGAGGCAGGCGGATCTCTGAGTTCAAGGCCAGCCTGGTCTACATAGTGAGTTCCAGGACAGCTGGGGCTACAGGGAGACCCTGTCTCA